GGTTAGGGCGTTCGACTCGCAATCTGCGGGTTCGAATCCCCGTCCCACCAAACATACTCGCCCTTTCAGCCGTGGGGGCGTTATAATGTGACAGTCAATCACACTATTCGTTGATAAAAGAGTAGCCCAAGAGTTAGCGGTTGCCTTCCCTCTAGTCTTACATTGCTAAATTAGGGACGGCTAGTGAAGATAGCGCTCGTGTAGCTTTGCACGAAATTCAAAACAAACAAATAAACTATATCTGGATACTGTAGGTCTAAACATTGATGTTATTTATGAAACTTTTTAAAGCCCTAATTCCAGTGTCCAATTCCTGGCTATGCTGTTCACCATCCAGATCATTCAGGTGGTAGGAACGAGAGACACTGTTTTTTTTTCATTAGACTAAATATTACTCATTTTCCCCTAGTATTTATAATATCTATTCCCTTGAGGCCTTACGCGTTGATACTGTTAAGAAAGTATTTAAAGTTGATTTTTTCTCTATTTATAATCTTTTTATTACCTTTAGTGGTGAGCAGTTGCTCCGGCTTTTCTTGATATGGACACTTACATGATTTTATGTGTGAAGTTTAATGCATGTCATTCAATATGTATTCCTGATTGGGTGAATGTGAATAATCAAACTGTTAAGCTTTCCTTGAAAAGTATGATTTGGCTCTTCTGAATGATGGTTCTCCTACTAAGCTCGATTCACAATGACATTTAGTCATTTTAATTTGACTTTTATCTCCAGTCGCTAAAGCAATAACTGTTGTTGCTGTCGATTGAGGCAATGATCATTTTATTTGTGAAACCATAGTCTACCTGTTTCCTTTATGTCAACTCTAAGAGTCTCGTTGTAAATGAGAGGAATGTAATACAGAAGTGCAATCTAGCCTTAACTCCTTTTTTCCTGTAATTCCAAATGCCGGGCATTTTGAATATGTTCTTGTTGGTGCTTTACATTTCTTTAGTTTTTGTGGGCAGAACCATAACCCGCTTTCTCGTCAGAATGTTCCTTGTTATAATATTCTCCTTTGTTGTAAGGTATATCACACTCTCTGTCAACGATATTCTGAGGATGCTTTGAAACTTTGCATCATGTACTCTAAAACTCAAATATATATTCGTTTTCGTACAAAGGACTGTTGGATGAATTTTTGTTCTACCCAAATTAAAAGACTCCTCTCTTTCTTTAGTCTGTAACAAGTTTGAAATGTTTAGTCTGTGATTTATTATCTGAGTTGGATACATGTTCGTGTACACTAAGATAATATCTAGTTATTTGAAGTGACTCGTAATTATGTGTAAATACTCTTTGTTTACTCTAAAATAAAAAATAAAGGTTGTAATCTTGTTCCTTCTTCATAAGTTTAACCAAACCATCTTCAGTTACAGTACTTATAATCATTCCAGCTGGATAGCTGATCTCCCATAATTACAAAGCAACACTGGGACTTCATACATAAACTTCAAACTAATTTTGCATAAGTTCTGAAAAGGAAACACTTTATTTCCTGAATAGCTTCTATAATGACATTACATTAGCACCTTTTCCACTTCTCTTTAACATCCTTCTAGGACTCGTGTGTCTCAGCTTTCCGTAAGTGAGCTTTTAGAAATCTCCCAACAATCCATAAACTGACTCCCCATCTTGGAAGTCTAAAGAACATAGCAAACATTTGAAACCCATGTTTTCCAAAAACTGAACATCAAAATATAAACTAGGTTTATTTGTATAATGATCTAGAATATAATAAATCTTACGTATTCATTGTGACTGTGCAGAATAACATCTTCCTATAAGAACAGAGTATATGTGATCTTCATTAAATAAAGAGAGGTGTTAGTTATTACTGCTACTTATGGTTAAACATTCTTGTTATTGTTAGTTTTAAAGTAAGTGACCAAACTACGATTATCATAACCTACATGTTCTGAAAACTTGTATTAGAAAATGCAGTTAACCTTAAGCTCCAAGTTACACCGTGAAACAAAAGTAAAATTAGAATGAGCTCTACACTTATAAAACGAAGTTAGCACTGCCAGCCTTACACATAACTGATAGGATATTAAACTGGCTGTATAATACAGTTGTTGTGTTTATTGACTTGAATTAATAAAAAAAGGTAGTTTATTTCTTTTCAACATCGTCGCCATAGCTATATGTAAAAATTAATTTTTGAACTTTCTTTCTCTTTTAAAACTTGGTTCACGTAGATTTTTGTTTCCAATCCCTCTTAGGTTTACCCTAATAGTAAACATTAATTTTGAAAGTACTGCAAAAGAAAATTAATCCATTATCTAAAAACTTTATATTTTATAATCTAAATAAATGTATCAATATTTGCGATAAAAGTTTTATTTAGTCTATAATTTTTTTTATATATAAGTTTATTATGTTTAACACAATATATAGAAGTCTGAGCTATGATAAGAGAGTTAATAACACGGATTTAGTTTTTAGAGTGTCGAAAAACTAGAGAAGTCTCAGTTTGAATGTGTTTATTTTAGAACAAAGCCACATTGGGCTATCTGCTGTGTCCACCGCGGAAAATCGAACCCCAGACTTTAGCTTTGTAAGTTCGTAGACTTAACCACTGTCCCACCAGAAGACTTGAATTTTTAAAACAAATTTGTTAGAAACTTGGATAATCAGCTAATGGGGCTCCATTTCAGTGAGTAGTAATGGTGGAAGGGTGAGATAAATAGTAAATGTAATAAGTTTAAAACGTATATGTAGATATCTAGTCTCGGTTATATGTAAACTATTTTTTCACCAGCGTAAATATAAGAAGTGAATTATTTAATGATATGGTGGGATACCATATTTAATTCATTCGAACATTTGTTGTTATCATGCTAATACAAATAACTTGAAGGTAAGTGGGAATGATAACGTATCTTTTGGTGGTGTTATGTTCATTGTGTTAATAAAATAAGCATCATACATTAATAAAATAAACAAACAAATATCACATGACAAGTTAAACACAACACACAATCTTTATTTGTACTAAATTGTAGATCAATAAAATATTTTATTACTCAAGCATCAAATAATGTAAGTATTCTCAAACTAAAGAAAACAATGTATGATATACACCGAAATTTACTAAAGTTTATTCTAGTAATTATCATTTGAAAATGTAAAGTCCAAACATTTTGTAAAGTGAACTAATTTTTCTTAGCGTTAAGGTCAAAGCTCATAACACGTAATCTTTCGTCACCAGCCAGACTAAATTTAATTCATGGTGTTTAGTGACCTTAGCTCTTTTACATCAGTGAACTCAGTACATTAATTTCGATATGGTTTGTTTGTAATTATGCACAAAGCTACACAATGGGCTATCTGTGCTCTGCCAACCACGGGTATCGAAACCCAGTTTCTAACGTTGTAAGTCCGCAGACATACCGCTGTGCTACTGAGGGGCATTTCAATATGGAAATACAAAAATCTGTATCCTGAATGGGGTATATATTTTTAAAATTAAGTCAAAATTTATAATCTTACATGCTAAACCAAAATATTTTGTCTTACAGGTAACTTTTAGCGTTTTTTTTTTTTTGGACATTGTGAAAAATATTTAATAAAAATATGTATTAGTTTCACAAATTCACTATGTTAACACATGTGTCTAAAGTATAAAAATTTTAATCGTTAGTTTTTAAGTTGTATATTGCCACATGGGTTTGTAATAGATTCTTGAACAAAAAAGTTACATTTAAAAATTATTATTGTCTTACGTTTGAATATAATAGCGGTAAAGGATATAAAGAATTTGATATTTTAGTATAAATTAATTTAACAAAGCAAAACAGTCGTTTTCATGTCGACATTAAATTATGTAGATAATCATATAAATAAGCCATGAAAATAAGTCATGAAAATTCAAACTGTAAGACACTCAATGAAAAATATGTTTACATATTCAAAAGTTTTGTTTATTATTAAAAAGAAGACATGGGATATTCATATTCGTATTCTAATGTATTCGAATACAGCTTTCGGAGTATTCGTACTTACATTCGAATACTTTGGTATGGAAAATTCAAGTATTCGTATTTGTTATCAAATTCAGTGGCATAGTATTCGTATTCGCTGAATGATTTAGTGAATACTTTAAATGAAACTTATAGGTATTATTTATAACTGTCCATTGTGGGAACGAAGTTTATACTGAAAGAGCAATTAACGTATGTAATAATTACAGTCTAGAAAATTGTTTAGTGTAAAAGTTGACATTTACTCTTGCAGTATTTTTTTTTTGTTATAAAACTTTGTTATTGTATTTTGAAAAAATAAAAGTATTAAAAGGTTATTATTTGTTCAAAATTTGTTTGTTTCAGTTTCTAAAAAGTTTGGTTCGCATTCAAATATTTAGCATTTTTCCTGTATTCGTTTTCGTATTCACAAAAATATGAAGTATTCGTATTTGTATTCGATTACTGAATTTTAATATTCGCCCCATTCCTGTTAAAAACACGAATATAAAAAAGTAAATATAAAGCAGAAAGCTATTCGTGATAATCTTTCGCAAATATTAACAAGTGTGTGAAATTTTGCAATGTCAAAGTCCACTTTTGTAATAATACAGTGAATCGCTTCTATTAAGATAGACATTAGACACGTCAATAACTCAACAATAATTATGTTACCAATCACACAAAATCATCTTATATTCATGATAATCAAAAACAAGTGATATCGAAAAGGTTTATGCGCTCACAAGTGTAATTCCTCCGTCAGATTGTGGATAGGAACAACCTCTCGAAAACCCTAAATCAGTTCAGATGCAAAATATTAGTTTGAAGGGTCACAAAATTAGTGTAACTGTCTTTGTCTGTGTGTAATCAAAATGGTTTAACTTGACTTCAAAGTAAATGCATCTGTTCAAGCCACAACTCACATAGTGATACGAAAACCAACCATGAAGAAAGAAACGTTCCAAAGAAGTCACTTGCATTTGGTTGTATCTATTTGTCTATATGCAGATAAATAATTTTTTTTTTTTTGTTAGATTGTGTTGTATCTCTGTTTTAAATCCAATCAGAAATCCAGTTTAACTGGATGACACATTTCTTGTCGTTTCTCTAGTTATCGCGGTTACTATTTCACCTCAAGGTATCACGTACCTGAGAACAGTACACAGCCATCGGTTAAAAGGAGCTAGTTCGGTTTTTCCTTCCTCAAATAATTAAAGATATCCTCAATGAATAAACAAATATATATATATCACACACACAAAAACAAATGCCACTTTGACTACCTAGGAAACAAGTTTTCAAACGTTAACTAAAACTTCTTTTTCACAAATCGAGTAGCTATGGTTGTTACGAAGAGGACGTTATCATCACTAAAATCTATTGTTTCGTCTGATTTGAAAGTTAGACTAAACTTTAGAGACTTGATTATTTGCATCAAAAATGAACTTGTTAAAGCAACCACTGACAGTAAGCTTTATTTTTCATTGAACGATCTACATAAAAGTACTCATTGATATAAACTTTTGATAAATCGTTTCATTTGTTACTAAATTATGAGGAAGAAAAACATTTCTGACTTACAGAAGAGTTTGTATGAAACGCTGTGACGAAAACAGACTAATAAATGACGTAGTCCAGTATAATAGGTTGAATAGATATCCAGCAAAATGATAATCCAATCAAAAACCAAGTAGATATTGATAAACCTTATTATATAAAAATATGTATTTGAAAATCAATAAAGAAAACGATATCAAGGGGTGAATTCATACCCTTCTCCATTTTGCCCTTAAAGACTAAACAAACTAAACAGTATTATGTCTTATGCTAACATAAAAAAAATCCTCACAATAAAATTGTATTTAGTTCCTTCGTTCTAATTCTTCTGATACTCACATTTCAGAGAGAATTAACAATTACCTCCTTCTCTAGAACCAGAAGTCAATTTCAAATATATTGTTATTTTGATTTTTTATTTCAAGGCTATCTGCCGCCGTCCCAATTTTTTAATTGCTGACCATAGGGAAGGGATCCATCTAGTCAGCAGCACCCTACTACACCAATTTAAAATGTCCGATTGTTTTAACCTTCTGGATAATTTGAAACATTTCTAAACGTTAAAAATAAAAAGTACTAAGAAAAAAAATCAATCCAACAGTGTATTCCCTGGTGCTAGTTCTGAATTTATATTTCACATAAAAAGATCTAGGTTAAAGGCAATGTTTCTGTAAAAGAAAATGTACAGAAAAACAAAGAAAGTTTAGGAAAATATACAAAAAAATCCCTTATCATTCGAACTTGTCCATTGTACGTCACGTATTTATTTAGTGACAGATAAATCAACTAATGTTGAAGATACAAAGTCTACATGATTTGCCTTTCGAAGCAAAAACTTCAAGCAATCTTTTCTAATTGACACAATTTTAATGCTGCTTACTTGTGACATATACAACAGCAGATGTATCATATTAAATGAAAAAGAATACTGACACATTAAATGGGCAAGTTAATCTGGTCTTTCAGCATACAAAACTTTGATCTTTAACCAGCGCCTTATTACAGAAGATTCAAATGACATTCATATCAATATTTAAACTCATGCTCACGAGTTTTATAAATAAAACGCAGAGAATCATTACTATTTGTTGCAAATGGAAATTCGTTTCGAGTGTGTGCGGGTTAATTAAGGAGGTAATTTACGTAACTAAAGTTAGTCAAAAGATGACACGGTTAAATCACGTCTGGCAACTTAGTAGTAAGGTTTGTGTTGTTTAAAGATTAATCGAACGCACTTTTAATGAAGTTTATATTAGACTACAAATGAATTTGCAACAAAAACCAAAACAACAGTTCATCTTTTCCCCTTCATAACAAATAGTTGCCAAAGCCAATTTGATCGTATTAATGTGCTTTCTGTAGCTATCATTAAAATTATAATATTTTCTGATCGACAGCAAAATGTCCCTACAAACAAGTTAATCAGCCTTGCATAGTATCATATTTTAAGGAAGCTGACGTGTGTATCGCTAGTTCATACAGAAACAGTCTTACTCAAAGTCATACTGGTAATGCAATCCCATTAAAACATCTTGATTAATTTATCATTTACATCATTACGGCAATCTTGATGAACCTCACACTTACAACAGTACCTGCGACAATCCTTATAAACTTCACATTTGTACTACTACGTCCATTGTGACAGTCCTGATGAACTCCACACTTGGACCACAACCCCTGTGACCTGGGAAACCTAAAAGTCAGTGCCTTCGTACCCTATCGTAGAAAGCAGAAAAAGCAAATCGGAGTTTAGAAAATAATTTTATCGTAATGTTTATGATAAAGAATAAAACAGTTAAAACAATGTTTTCCCATATCTTTCATGACATAGATGTTTGCAAACAGATATTTTTCTACAATAACATTTAATATATTAAAAGCCTCAAAATATAATGATATCATTTTTTGACAATCTAAACAACAAAGTTTTCAAGTAACTTGTAAGTGGTAAACAATTATCGGGTTTCATTCCCTACTAATATTAGAACGTCTATTTGTATTTCCGTCTTCCCATATTTATTTTCTCGTGCCTACAAAAAACAGTTAATGTCTACTCAACATATAATTATTTTTGACATATCCCAGAGGCATTAATGAATAACTGAGAGCATATACAATGTCTATCATAAATGAAACTATTATACTCATACGTTTTTAGGTTTAATTAATATCAATATCCAGGTAACACGAAAGGAATGAAACGGCATAGATTAATGAAGAAAAAGTTACCAGTTTTGAAAATTTTTGCAAAGTGGCCTGGAGCATTGAAATCGCAGATGGAAGTGACAAGTAACACAACTCCAACACAACTAATTTATTTTAAATCCCGACGTATCGACATAGGCTTTTTTTATTTTAACTTCTCACAGTGTCACGCTGAATTTTTTGAAAAAGCCGTATGCTGAAAAAGTAGGTTTAAAAAAACAAAATGTATATTCACAAGTTGTATTCGCTGTCATTTCTAGATAATAATACCATTACCAGCAACAACCGCCAAATCTTTGGCTACTTTTGTTTGACCGCACCCACGGCCGCAAAGTCACAGCTTGTTCTTGCAACAACGGGACGCGAACTCTTAACTCTTATATTCACAGTCTGGACGCGCTTTCTACTAAGTCACGCCCAACCATTGATATTGCTAACTGACAAATATTTATTCATAACAAAGCGCCGTTATACACGCATGAACTTCGACATGTCTTATTATATCAGTTAAATAAAAATATCTCCTCATTACCAGGATTCTCTCCAGTCAGAGTCTGAAGTAATCGGAAAGATCGAGACGGAATTTTCCCTCCAGTGTATTTTTTCGGTTCTGGTTCACTTGGAAGTTGCGATGCAGGTACTTCCGGTTTGGGTTTTACATGAGGCTTTTGGAATTCAAATTCGTGGTCTTGAGTTTTATATGTTCTATTCGGCTGAAACGTAGTCTGTAAGGACTCTGTGAAACATCAAACAACATTTATAAACGTGGATTATTATACAAATTAAACCTGATTAAAGCTTTAACTTTAAGTAGCTTAACAACTGTAATGAAAATTACATTTTAGTACAGATGTTTTAGCATATTATTTTTAATTAGTCAACAACATTAACGTCGATAAGTGAAGCTTCATATTTACTAGTATTTGAAATGGAAAGATTTAATCCAATACATTGTTGTTTTATGGAATTTATGTTGATGATGCCTGTACAAGAGAAAGAGTAAAATGGGGTTAATGTTCCTCCTATATTGATTTCTTGAAATGTTGTTGTTGTTTTTTACAGTTTTGTCTTTACAATAAAAAGATCTACATATCAATACATGAAACACGGTCAGCTCAACACGTATCGAAAGTATGTCAAGATATTTATGACATCTTCTACGATTTGTAAAATAAATGTTGTTGTTGTTTTTTACAGTTTTGTCTTTACAATAAAAAGATCTACATATCAATACATGAAACACGGTCAGCTCAACACATATCGAAAGTATGTGAAGATATTTATGACATCTTCTACGATTTGTAAAATAAATGTTTTGTGAAGAAAATAATTATGTTTACATCGCCTAATAAAAAATTTGTAGTATTAAGCAAATTGATATTGTTCTTACACAAATTCAACTTTTTTAATGATGATGCTTTTAAATTTTCTTGTCTCTCTCAAGGATGATTAGCCTCACAACATGCACGTCGCGCGATACATTGGATACGTCAATATTCCCTCTTCTTGAACTTAACATTTGTCAGTCACGGTGCATGAATCCTACACTGCACGTGTATTTAATCGCTAGCCATAACTACTCATCCTACAAATATGTAGAGAGAGTGAAGGTTATGTCAATCTATCCAATCCCGCTGAACCCGTAAGATTTCCTTTGTTTTATATTATGATGTAAATGAGAGTTATTTACATTGCCATTTTAGTCTTGGATTTCAAGTGTGTTCTGGATATTTTCCATATGAAGAGGCGATCAATGAACACCTTAGATCCAACCACTTTGTTGAGTGTCCTATATGTTTTGTTTATGGGAATTTGTATTACTGACCAAACATTTGATTGAATTCGACGATGTTTATTCCCCAATTATTATTGCACTTGCCTGATGGTATTCAGACGAAACAACATCGTGTTTTTCAAATAAGGATTCGTCCAGAAGACGACGGATATTCCTCATCCGAAGATAATAATTGTGTATAATAACTTGATTTGTAATTGAAAGTCCTTTCCAAGACCATCAAATCTTAAGAAAGAGAATGTCATGAATGTATATTTAGCGGTTTGTTATGTAAACCAAAGAGTCAATCAACTCACTTTACCTGAGCGTTAAGGTCAAATTTCAGTTGCACACAAAATCAGTTCGTCAGCTGGTAAGGTTGAATTTAATTTTTTAATGTCTAGTGAGCATAAAATATTTTGGTTGTAAAGGGTATTTTATAATTATAAACACCGTACATTAAATGTGATATGCAATTATTATGCACAAACTCGATACTCAAATATAATCGAATCATCAAACAAGAACATTAAATATTATATTTCAAAACGTTTGGTATTAAACACAATTACGGAATAATAATAATATACAAATAGCAACATGAGATCTGTAAATTATATTATAATATGACTCATGATAAATTCATTATTTTCGCATAACGTTACATAAAACAGCTACAGTATTTATTTTAATATAATAATCAAGTCAAATATTTAATCTATATGAATCTTACATGCATTTACCTTTCGCGTGAAAATAGAAGATAAACATAGTTATCATTTACCATTACAACTTTAGTCAAACATATACAAGTGAATTAAATCGAGTGTTTAAACGAAACTAAAGTGTATACACGTAAAAAAATATTGTTTATTATCAATACTAAAAAAATTATAATTTACTATAGTTTAGATTTACTGTTATATGAAATGCATTGTCTGTAATGTTGCTATTTCCTGTAATGACCCTGTGAACTCCTAACTGTGATGAATGAATCAACAATTGACAAATAAGTTGAAATGGCTTTATAGTCCATGTGCGAAAACCAATAGGTTGATTGTATCTATACATAGTTTAAGTTTGTTTTACGCATGTTGCATGTTCATTTATAGTTTTATATCAAACAGGCTACACCATATAATGACAAAAGTTTTATCAATCTTAAATATGTGTCGAGAGTTCTTTATGTCAAAAAATGATACTTACCAATTACCTCAACAATCTAATGTTTTGTACTTCAAATTGAATGTTCTACAGAAAATCATAGTGACTAAAATGGTAAATATTGCTATTTCGTTTAGTTTTTATAAAAGTAAAGTTTACTTAACTCAGTTTTAGGCTATTAGAAATTATCAGATGTAACATAATAAATTGGGGGCTCGTGTCCGAGATCTGAATCAGAGACAAAATTCAATCTAAATTAAAATTTAAATCATAATTCAATTCATATCTATCTGTGCCGACGAGATTTGATCATATCTTATTATCAATATTTTCTTGAATCTCTCTCCCTCGAACAACTAGAAAGATATAACAAAAACGAATTGCTCGAAATTTCCAAATATTTAGAACTAGAAGTTAAAAGATCAATGAGAAAAAAAAATGAACTAAAAAACCGTATTATCGAAATGCTAGTCGATGATGATTTGTTGCTTGAGGAAGCATTAGAGGAATACTCTAGTGTACCTACTAGCCAATCGGGGTTGAGTGATAAGGAGATAAATTAGAGATCCAGCTAAAACTCAAACAACTCGAGCTTCAACAAGCTCGTATCGAAGCCTAGAAAGAACAAGCTCGTATCAAAACTGAAAGAGAAAATAAACGTCTCCAGGCCGAAAAAGAAATTAGTATTTTCACGAAAACATTATATAACTTCACGGTGGAAAACTCGGAGTGTGTGGCTGGTGAATAACGAAGAACAAAGCTAGCTAGCTCCCTATTAAATTAATTGTACCTACATCAACTCGAAATTAATTCGCTCATCGTGAACTTTAGATAAGACATCAAGGAAGTTCCAGACTAGAAAGAATACTTTATATTGCTTGTACGTTTGTAAAACTTTTGTATATAAATCATTGTTTGTAATAACTATTATTCACTTACTGTAATTTGTATTATTATTTGTGTATTAAAATATATTTAGTATTAAAAAAAGAAGAAAACTGTGTGTATCAATCTTGTTGGCAAATATCATAAATTGGAGATATATCAGTATATATTTAACTATTAAATCTAAATTACAATTTATCTCAGTTTAGGCTATTAGAAATTGTCAAAAGTAACAATTATAACAGCAAGTTCAATGAAATACAAAAGCACATGAATTATAGAAGGATTAGAACAGCAAGTTCAGTGAAAGAACAACAACAACGTGAAAAAGAACATCAACAGCAGGATAAAACATATTGATATGGAAACTGAAGTAGCAAATACAGTAATCGAACCAGTTACACCAATCTTTACAAATGCTCAAAAATTTCCATCTCAAATACTATTAAATTCGGAATTGTAACATCCACCTCGTCTTCACCTGTTACAACTACTTCTGAGTCACCTATGAATGAATAACTTTCCAGGACTACCACAACTACACCACTACCTAATCAAATTACAGAAGTATAGAAAAACAGGTGAACAACATCATCTAATCCAAACATTAACAGAGTAACGTAAAAATACCATGGGAAGCATATCGGGCGTATTTCGAAATAATTTCTAAAGTGAACAGATGGAATACATAACAGCAATCAATTCATCTTACTACTCATTTAAATAGATTTGGATTGTTACACCAGAAGAAAGTTTCTAAAGTCGGTTTTAGGAGCTGAGTAAGGAAGAAGGATATTACTTTAGGTAAACTTGCTGAAGATGTAGAAAGACTTGGCCATTTATTTCATTAAGACGTTACTCGTGAAATGACGGATTCTTTGGCACATGACCAATTTATGGATGCCGTAGTTGATGAGGATATGCACATTAGACTAAAGCAGAGTAGGTGTACATTTTTAAGGGAAGTTTTTTACTTGGTGATAGAAATAGAATAAATTAAAATCGTAGATAAACAACTCACAATGGAAAAAGTAAACCACAGGATAGTAGATGTTTCATTTTCAACTTAAAAGGGCATATAAGTAGTTAGTCCATCTGATCTGAAGAAAACGTCTGATTGGCTACCTCAGGCGATGCGGGAAAGCTTGAGACCAGGAGGCCATATTATGGTATAGTTCGACGAAGTAGCACCAGAGGGCAGATTGCTAAGGACGGAAACTGGGGTGACCAAAGTGTCAAACTATGAAGCCATCTATGGTGCACGGGTAGATGGTTTGCGAGCAAACACCAGAGGATGTTGTGGATTAACATATATTTACGTTTTGCATTTCAATTATTTCATTACTTGATTCATTACATGATTACTTCATGAATCTGTGTGGAGGTTTGTTTTGCATAAAACTTTCAAACTCTAGATATGTAAACTAATAATCTACGTAATCCTGAAATGGACTATTTCATATCGGTTTATAAACAAAATATTCAAACTATAAATATACATTGTGTGTATCACATTACGAAAACAAAACTACTGTATCAATCTTTTTAGTTCTTAACATTAGTTTTATCGCTATAGTCAACTTTATAATTGTACTTCAGTAAACGAACAATTTAATTATTTAACATATGATAACTTATTAAATACAAAGTGACTATTTGTATAGCCTACTTCATGTATATTCATTTATGGTTTTATAATCTAGATAGATCCTTGTTTTTCATAAAATATTCAAACTATGGATATTTATCATATCCATACGCTACCTTAACTCAGAGTTATTAAAGTTTATAGAAAATCGTTTGGGTCAAACTAAATATTGTAGCATTTTTATTGTGCTTTGTCAAATAGTTTTTCTAAATGTCAATCGGTTGTCGTCTTGTGCTACATGACACACAGTTTAAGTTTATAAAATTTTCCAGTTACTCTAGACAAGTTACTTCACGTTTGTGTTGTGTAGCCTGCTGCATGGTTTACACATGTAAATATTCATATTTTATTTCAACGTACAATTTACCTAAAGAACTAATTCTCCATAAGATCAATCAAACGTTATATATGCATCTGACACAAATGTCCAAACTCTACATAAATGTTATATCACATTAACTGTTATGTAATACAGTTTGACTTTATGGTTTACACACACTAAATAACTAAACAATAGAACAAAATCAACCGTTTAAATTGTAATTTAGATTTAATAGTTAAATATTTGCCGATATGTCACCAATTTATGATATTTGTCAACAAGATTGATACACAGTTTTATTTTTTTAATACATATATATTTTAATACACAAACAATTATACAATTTACAATAAGTGAATTACAGTTATTACAAATAGTTATTACGAACAATGATTTATATACAAAAGT